GCCCTCCAGCTCCTCAGCTTGGAGGCCAGCTGTCAGCTGGCACCTCTCCCCTGGGCCCTCCGCACCTGCGCTTCTGATTCTGCGTCCTCAGGGACAGCTCCTCCGTGGGGCTCTCAGCGGAGGGAGGGCCTGACCACCTTCCATCCTCTTCCCCGCCCCCCACCCCCCGCCCATGTCCCCTAGCCACACTGGGCACACCAGTGAGCATGTTCCAGGAGGGGCAGGTGATGGGGCTTCTGGGCAGCTCAGTGCCAGGCAAGTGGCTGGGGCCCACGTCAGAGTGAGCACCAGGGCTTGGGCTGGCCCACATCAGTGGTGGCAGGAAGGGCTGGTGTGGTCTTGCAGAGCCAGCCACGCTGCTCCTGCATGTCTCTGGTGGTCTCACCTTTCCCCAGACCCCAGACTCCCCAGGTTCTAATCTGGGGCATCTGTCTCAGAGGCGGGGCAGGTGTCCCTGGAGTGGATCAGCCTCCCTTAACCCCTGCCTGCAGCAGCAGCTGCTGCTGCCAGACAAAGGCGGGAGGAGAGGCGGGAAAAAGGCGGAAGGAGCAGTAGGCGTGGGCCTGGTGAGGCTGGGCAGGGAGGCTTACTCTGCTTCCAAGCCCATCTGAGATGCTATCGGGGCTGGGAAGGGGGACACAGGGCAGGGGAGGAGACACGGGTCTGAGGAGGGGGGATACTGGGCTGAGGAGGGGGACACAGGACAGAGATCTTCTCCCCGTCTCGCTCCCTGGCTACCCACCTCCTCCCTCAACCACCCTTTCAGGAAGGGACAAAGGGACAGGAGACTCCAGAAGCAGGGAGGAGGGGGGACACAGGGACTAAGACCAGTCTCCTATGCCACTGCCCTTCAGCCCACCCCGTGCCTCCTCCCGACCCTGTGCCTCCCAGCCGGCTCTGGGCCACCCCAAGCCCAGGCCACAGCAGCTGGCCACTCCATCTCCGCACCCTGCCGGGCTCCAGGAGGGCAGGCCGGGTCTGACTTGGCCCCAGCCAGACTCACAGCTCTTCCTCTTGGTCTCCTCAGCCCACCCACCCCACCTCCCAGGCCCACAAGGGGCAAGGGCCCCCGCAGGCTGTTCGCCCCTCTCTACCGACAGCTGCAGGGGCCTCTGAGTAAGAGGGAGACTCCAGTGCCAGGGGACGGGCCTACTGGTTTGTTCACTAGAGGGTGGGCTGCTGGAATCCACTCGGAGGTGCCTCGGAAGAAAGGCCTGGCTGCCTGTTGCTGCACAGCCCTACTGTGACCCCGGGAGACTGGCAGTGCCCCCATCGTCTCTCCTGCCGACTTGCAGCACACGCTCACCCCACCCTGGCTCCATCCAACAGTCACTTCCCTCTTCCTCAGCCAGCCTCCCCACCACCCCCACTCCTGCGCCCCCAGCCGCCTCTTCCAGGCCCCTCGATGGGAAGGGGCTGGGCAGGCCCAGCTTGGGTGGATGGAGGCTGTCCCCCAGACTTCTTGAGGGCCGCTGGTCTGGGTCTGCCCGGGGAACAGCTTTGCTGGGCAGTGAGCCTCCACCTGCCCGCACTTTGCCACCCGCCATTTGTAACGCACACCGCAGTCCTCCCAACCCCCACGAGGGCCGCCTGCCAGCCCCGTTTCACAGGTGAGGAGTGTGAAGCACCAGCTGGGGGAGGGAGAAGGTGGTCTCTGACTTTGTAGCCCCACGCCGAGGGATGCTCCCTGGGAGGCCACTGCAGCCACGAGGTGGCTGGCCGGGGAAAGCATGGGCCCAGGTGGGCAGGCCTCTCTCCTGCAGGGCCCACGAGAGCTCACAGCCTCCCAAGGCCCCCGGGACCAGCGGCTCCTGGCCATCCCCTGCTCTCCAACAGCGGGTGGCATTTTCCTTAATGGGGCCCACAGTGGGAGACCAAGGTCTGATGGCGGCCCTCACACATCTGTGAGGTCCCTACAGTGGTGGCGGCTCTGGGTCCACATTCCTGTGACCCCAACTTCACTGCAAGGTCCTCGAGGCTCAGAGACATGCGGGGGACCTGTCTGAGGCCCAACCCAGGGGCCCCCCCAGGCTCTACCCTCACTCAGATGGTCCTTCTCTGGCTGCCCTGGGACACTGCTCAGGAAGCACAAGCCCCATTTGGACAGGGCTGTTCATGAAGCCTGGACAAATGACCTGGGGCTGGTCTCCATGGAGGGCTGCTGCCTTGCCCCAGGAGCTGGCCAACCTGGGGTCAGCAGGCAGGCGGGCAGTCAGTGTGGTGCCAGGGAACCCCTGGAAGGCAGAACTCACTGTGCGCCGGGGTTTCCTAAGAACTTCAAGGCCCATGGCTCCTGACAGGTGGTGCAGAAGGGTGGGGCAGCAAGTCCCAGCAGGCGAGGGCCTGGATCACCCAGGCCCAGGCCCAGTTCCCTCCCCCAGTCCGGGCACCCCTGCCTACCTGAACCATGGGCCCCTCCTGACAATGGGTCCAGGGGGGTCATTCAGGAATGGGGGAGGCAGCTATGAGAACATGGGGACAGACAGACATCCGACCCATCTGCACTCAGGAGACTACTGATGTCCACTGGGGGAATGATCTGGAAGGACAGAGGTCGGGACCTTTGTCCCTGTGGAGCAGAAAGCAGAACAGGAATGTTCTGGAAGAACACAGCTGCCACCCTCTCCTCCTGGAACGACCCAGAGCTGACCACACCCCAGGAGAGCATTTGCCTCCCTCCCCACCCTTCGCTCCCACTGTCACCTGTGACCAGAGCCAGCATGCCCCCATTAACCATTAGGGGTCCATGGTGAGCAGTCACCCGCCTAAACACCCTGCAGTGGGCGCTCTGGGGAGGGGTCCTGGCGGGCATAGGAGGGGCCCAGCCTTGGTAGCAACCCCTGGCCTTAGGGGACTCTCAGTACCATCTCCCTGCTCTGCACCTGCCCCAGGGCAGGTGCTGGGGTGAATGCTCGGCACAGCCCTGTCCCAAATGTGCTCAGGTGAGGAGACCAGCCAGCCCCTGTCCAGGGGCCTCTATCCCCAAAGGCTCAGTGGTCAAGGTTCGAGGTGTGTGTTGGGGGGGGTGCTTTTCCGTGTCCATTTAACAGGCCCTGCCCAAGGGATCCTAAGCTCTGGGAGCAGTCTTGTTGACAGGACTGTGTTGTCCAGTGTCCGGAAGGCAGGAACACTGGGGCCAGAGAGGTGACTGCAGGGCTGAGTGCTTGGGACAATAGGTGTTGTGGCCCTCTCTGTCTCAGAGGTTTTCATACCCTGTCCTGGTGTGTGTCGTCCCCGGAGCCCCCTCTCCTGATGTGCCCCACCCACTTCTCCACAGCCCTTAATCTGTGTCCAGTGGAAAGCCCAGCTGGGCAGGAATGAGCAGATGGGGATAGTGCGTGTGCGTGTGCGTGTGTGTGTGTGTGTGTGTGTGTGGTGTGTGGAGGTGGGGATGTGGTGCGTGCGCACATGCGTGCATGGGGTGGGAAGGGGAGCCCATCAGGATGAGGTGCCTGAGCCCCAGTGCTCTGCCTGCCCCCACCCTTTCCTGCAGAAGCAGCCTCCCGTATTTCTAGGGAGCCCCTTCCCCATCTCAGGATGAGGCAGAGGTGCTCCATCATCCCAGGGGTGGTGGGGGTCACGTGACTCAGGACAGCCAGGGGCACCCGGGCCAGAAAACCACACTCACTCAGCCATGAAGTCACTGATGCCCAGCGGCTCTGTACTGCAGGTTAGACCCGCCCCTGTGGGTGTCCGAGGCGGGCACTCTGGACCGGAGTGGGAAGAGTTACTACTGCAGAGTCGCTCCTGGCTTCAAACTGCTGACCTTGAGGTTAGCAGCCCAACATGTCATCACTATACCACCAGGCTCATGGAGACCCATTGAGACCAATTACAGGCAAGCCTGCTGGACTGTGAGCAAAAGGGGGTCCACTCTCCATAGAGATGGGGGTGCAGGTGGAGTCAGGTACCCTTCACTATGGTGTGTGTGGGGGGGTGCTGTCTAAAATCAGAGCCATCATGGAGGTAGGAGAGAAGCAGCTGTGTGAGAGCCCAGATCCAGCCAACCCTGAAGTCATCCCTTGCAGCCATACCCAAAGCCACTCCTACTCCTGGATCAAGCCATGCCTGAAGCCATCCACATTCCTAGCCTGACAGTCACATGAGCCAATACATTTAAATTCCACCTTACAGTGTGGAAAGTGCCCACAGAGCCGTGGGAGTAGCTTCATGCCCCAGAGCCCCGTTTCCTGGCTCTGCCAGCCCCCCACAGCAGGCCAACCCATGTTATCACCCCCAGTTCGGCAGGCACCAGCCCCTCTCACCATGACAGACATGGTCATGCCCTGCAGGTGGAAGACATCCATGCTGGCCTCTGCGGCACCAACTGCCTCGTTGTTCTCCCGGCTCGCTGGTGGGAGGTCAAAGTACGTGCTGTCTGGTTCCCTGTGCCGGAGAGAGGGGATGGGGGCCGTCAGCCCCAGATGGGTGTGACCCCACTTCTCAGGCACAGTCTGAGGCTAGCCCACACCCACTGGGGGCTCAGATCTCTTGCCCTGAGAGCCCTTTGGCCTTGGTCTTGTCTCCTTCCTGATGACCTTTTGCCCCATTCCTCTGCCCACCTCGCCCGGGCTGGGAGAGTCCTGTGTGACCACGGTGGGCACTGGTTCCGTAGCCTTCCTGCCCTCAGCTCTCAGGAAAAGAGCCAAATCTGGGCCAGATCTGGGACCCAGGAGAAGAGCTGACACAGCAGGTCTGCTTTTCCACAACCCCCCACACCCCCAGCCAGCCTAGGAGGGGGCCTGGATCAAGCTCAGCCCAGGGCTGCCCTATCGGCTTTGGTCTGGGCAGCCAGGCAGAGTAGCTGAGGCTAGCTTGAAATCCAGGCAGAGGCTCCCACTAGACCTGCTCTGGTCCAGTCAGCCCAGCAGGGGTAGCCGGGGGCTAGCCCAGCATCATCATCCCAGTCCAGTACCCACCCTCATCTGCTCTGGCCTAGTTAGCCCACAGGGAGCTGAGGCTAGCCCAGAGTCTAGCCTGGCAGCCCAGTACCCTCTCCTACCTCCTCTGGCCCTGTTAGCCCACAGTGGGAGGCATAGTGGGTGGGGTGGGGTGGGGGTCGGTGAGGCTAAGCCACAGTGGACCCCTGGGCCCCAGGCAGAGGCGAATACTCACAGGGAGCTCCAGAGGTTCTCAAAGGTGGTCCCGTCAGGGGAAATGGACTGGGACATCTTCACCCGCACGCTGTGGGCAGCTGGCTCTGGAGAGGAGAGGACACAGGTCAGGAAAAGACACTGGGTCTGTAGGCAGCAGCTCCTCCCCTCTGCCTTCTCCCCCTGCCCCTTCCTCCTCCTCCTTCTCCTGGGGCACTCAAAGAGCAGGGAAGCTGGTGATGCCAGGGGAGCATGGGCTGCAATGTGCCCCCATCCCAGGGAAGCAACCAAAGCAGGGCTGGGGGTGAGGGCTCAGACCAGGCAGGGGCCTCCCAGGGTCACCGTGGGGGGGGGGGGTAGACTAGCCCCAGGGTGCCCGTGGCCCCTGGGAGGGCATATCTCAATCTTCACAGAGGCCAGTCTCATTCCTAGGTGCCAGGTTATGGGACATCCCGGGGCCTCGGGTCTGAGACTAACCCCTCCCTTGGGGCATCTCCTAGGAAGGGCATAGGGGTTTCTCCTTCCACAAGAGCTGCCCATGGGACAGAGAGAGTTGGGAGTGCCAGACTTGTGGGTCCCTCCCCATGCAGCAATTCTCCCGAGATGCCATGTCCAGCAGCCCTGGTAGCCCAGGAGGAAGCAGCTCGGAGCCCGCTGTCTGCCCTTGACTGCCAATGCCCACCCTCGCTCCTTGGGCTGAGGTGGGATCTCTTGGGAGCCAGCCTGGGGTCCTCTGTGTGGTCACCAGCTGGTGGCCCTGAGAGTGTGGGCCTGGCTCTGGATGTGGCTGTGGGGAAATGGTGAGGGCTGACCCGACACCTGTGGATTTTGTGTCCTTGGAGGCAGGGGGGCATGCTCCTGGCCAGGGACACAGGTGAGGAGAGAGGGCCACTGAGGTAGCCCAAGGGCACTCGTCACAGCTGACTCTGCCCTCTGTCTGGTGTGAGGGCTCTGAGCACTCCCCAGAGGACCGAGGTAGGTCTCCAGGGACTTACGTGCATGGTAGCCAGACCGGTTCTTTCCAGAGGAGGGCCTGCAACGCCTCTACTCCCCACATGACCCAGATCCTCAGCAGGAAGCTCTGACCTGCACGCTGACCAGAGAAAAGCCGGCTACCCAGCAGCCTGGCATGCAGGGCACAGAGGTGGCTGTGGGGGCGGGGAGGGGGGGAATAGAGGGGACTGGTGCTACAGGGGGCTGGAGCAGCAACTGGGACACTGAGAACCTGGGGGGCAGAAACCTGTTTCTGGCCCTGCCCGGGACTGACCTTTTGGTAGTCTGGCCACTATGTGCAGGCAGAGTGGGCAGACTTGGGGGCTAAGCAGCCTGGGCAAGTTGGTGGTGGTGGTGGGGTGTTTAGGCCCCCTGGTGGGCACCTAGGGGCAGTGGTGGGGGGTTGGAATCCGGTCTGGGCCAAGCCACACTTCCTCAGGGACAGGAGAGCAAGCCCATTGCACACACACCCCTCCCTCTATTTTGCTAGCCCCGAGCTAGAAAACTGTTTGGCTAACGACATACAGCAAAGAGATAGCAAGATCCCATCTCCCATCCTAGCAGCCCAATTCACAACAACCAGACTAGGGACCAGCCCAGGGACTCAGCATCCTAGGAGGGGATCAACCAAACGGTCGGGCTGCACAGTGGAGTACCAGCCAGGCAGAGCAGAAGCCGGCAGCTCTGTGCATGCTGCAGTGCGGACGGAGGAGCCCTCCCAGCAGACAGAGCAGTTGGTCAACACAGAGGGGCTGATGCTACCTGATTCCATGCCAGGAAACACCAGGGAAGTCCAAAAGGAATGCTCCCGGGGTTGCCCTTCCCCCAGGCACAGGGCTATTGCCCAGAAAGCGTGGTGAAGCATGGGGTGCTGCAGGCAAGTTCTCTCAGCCATGCGCTGTCCCGGGTTCGTTGTTAGGTTCTGACCCAGCGACCCCATGCACAATAGAAGGGGACGCTGCCCGGTCCTGCGATCTCCTCACAACTGTTCCTGTGCCCGAGCCCAGGGTGGCAGCCACAGTGTCGTCCATCTCCTCAAAGGCTTCCTCATTTTCTCTGTCCCTCCGCTGTTCCAGGCATGACGCCCTTCTCCAGGGACCGGCCTCTCCTGGCAACAGGCCCAAAGTACCGAGACAAAGTCTCCCCATGCTGGTGTCCAAGGAGCATCCTGGCTGTACTTTTTCCACGTCGGATTTGCTGGTTCATTTGGCATTCCACGGTGCTTTCAATATTCCTCAAATTCATCGCTTCTCCTTAGGTCTTCCTGATTCACTGTCCGACTTCCACGTGCCTATGAGGCGACGGAAAATACCATGGCTTGAGCCAGGTGCACCTTCGTCCTCAAAGTGACGTCATTGCGCCTCACCTCTTGGAAAGAAATCTCACGCGGCGGATTTGCCCCATGCGATGTGCCACTTGATTGCTTGACTGCGGCTCCGCGGAGGGAGGCAGGGGGAGACTTCATCTTACAGACTTTGAACGTGTTGTCAGGAGAGACCAGTTCCTGGAGAAGGACATCATGCACGGTCAAGTGGAGGGGAAGCAAAAATGAGGAAGACACCCCCCCTCCCCCAAATGAGATGGACACCGTTGACGCAACAGTGGGTTCAATATAGGAATGATTGCGAGGGTGCCGTAGGATCGGGCAGTGTTGCATCCTTCTGTCCAGAGGGCCACTGAGTTCTAAATGGCTTGATGGCACCTGGCCAAATACAGAGTCCCTGCGTCAAAAAGAACCCGCCGACACGCCACCGTTTCAAAAGGAAACACATGAGCAAGAACCAATGGTGCTGAAGGAAGAAGCCCAAGCCGCACTGAAGACACGAGCCAAGAACGCGGCTTTGATGGAAAAAGAGGAATCGGTGGAATATCGATTGAACCGTTTCAGATAGCTGATAGAGCACTGGAAGTACTCACTCATCTCTGCCAGGAAATCTGGAAGACAGAGACTTGGCCAACTGATGGGAAGAGATCTATATCTGTACCCATTCTGAAGAGAGATAACTTGCTACAATGCTCAAATCATAGGACAATAGCATTGATATCACTTGCAAGTAAACTGTTGTGAAGATAATCCAACAAGGTTGGCCACTGTACACTGACAGGGAGCAGCCAGAGGCTCCGCCCTCGGGTTCACAAGAGGACATGGAACAGGAGATATCATTGCAGATGTCAGCTGGATCATGGCTGAAAGCAGAGAATGCCAGACAGGTGTTTATTTGTGTTCCGTTGACTATGCCGAGGCATTCACGTTCAACGGTGTGGGTCATAATACACTACGGCCGGCCTTGAGAAGGATGGGAATTCCTGAACCTGTCGTGTTGACACGGAACCTGTATGTGGATCAAAAGGCAGTGATGCGAACAGAACAAGGGCACGTGGCATGGTTTCAAACCAGGAGAGGTCTGTGTCAAGGTTGTATCCTCTCACCATACTTATTCAATCTGTATGTTGAGCAAATAATCAGAGAATCTGGATTATATGAAGCACCGTGTGGCGCTGGGATTGGAGAAAGGTTTATTAACAACCTGCAATATGCCGATGACGCAGACCCTGCTTGCTGAAAGCGAGCACTTGAAGCACTCGCTGGTGAAGATCAAACACTGCAGCCTTCGATATGATGACACCCCGATGTACAAAAAACCAAAATCCTCACAATCGGACCAACATCATGATAAACGGCGAAAAGATTGATGTTGACAAGGAGTTCACCTTGCTTGGCTCCACACTCTTTGCTCACGGAGACAGACATCAGTCGACAGATCAAAGGACACGTTGTACTGGATAAATCTGCTACACAAGATCTCTCAAAGGTGTTGAAAAGCAAGGATGTTGCTTTGAGGGTGAAAGTGCACGTGTCCCAAGCCACAAGAGGTATTTTCATTTGCCTCATATGCATGTGAACGTTGGGCATCGACCAAGGAAGCCTGAGGAAGAATTGGTGCACTTGAACTATGGTGCGGGGGAAGAATATTGAAAGCACCACAGACAGCCGAAAGAACAGATCTGTCTTGGGAAAACAACAGCTAGGGTGCTCCGTAGAAGCAAGGGTGGTGAGACTGAGTCTCAGATACGTTGGACATGTTGTCGGGAGAGACCAGGCCCTGGAGAAGGACGTCATGCGTGGTCAAGTAGAGCGGCAGCGAAAAAGAATAAAGCCCTCAAGGAGATTGACACAGTGCCTGCCGCAAGGGGATCCAACACAGGCACAATTGTGAGGACGCCGCCGTGTTTCT